CGGGACCCCACCTGGGTAACCTGCCACGTGCCAGATGGTGTGTGGCACAGGCGTTCCCCAGGGACAACTAGCAGCCGTACAAGGTGCACTGCTGCTAGTTGTCGCCAGGAAACCAAATGTCCATGCTCGTGTGGACATAGCCTAAGAGAGCAGTTTGCCAACTGTGCAGTATATAGACTGAAAATAGAGAGGTATTTCTGCAAACAACCACATGCAGGGACTCTCTCTTCTCTCTTACACACTTTCTCTCTTTATCGTGCTGATCTTGATCCTATGGAAGCCACTAGGAAAACTCTTGTTGACTTCAGCTGAAGGGGAATCAGACCTCATATCCACTGTAGCAAACTCACTGTCCTTTATATATAATTTATACAATACAAAGCAATGTTATTTATTCTACATAAGACCACTGTCTGTTTTTATTTCTATGAGTGCTATCTATATCACATTAAGTGCAATCTAAGAGGAGCTGTTAACAAAGATATAAGCATTACTGAGAAGATGAGCTAACCCTGCTATATATATAAATATACTGACATTGTGACCTATAATGATTTTACTTTACTAAGGGCATAATCCTACAAGATGCTGAGTGCCTCTTGCAAGTTAAGTGCCCTCGATTCCTATTGACTTCCATGTGGTCACTTGAAGGATTGGGCAGTATATGTAGTTCTTTGGAAAGTCTTTAAAATGTTTATCGTCTTCCAGGTACAGTAGAACAAACTCACTCAGATAAGATGAATATATATATTTTTCCCTGCTCTTCCTACCCGTCAGCCCTGTAAACTCAACATGGCATCAAGCTGAGTTCTCCTCCAGTCAAACAGCAGCAGCAGCAATAACAATGTTGCTTTCGATACGCCTATGCAACCCCATTAGGTTTTATCAGGGCTATACGTGTGAGAGCAATATACACCCTGGAGTGGAAAACGCCTAAGTGAGGACACGAGCTGACCTTGGGAATCCTTACTGCTGCTCCTGATACGTGAACGGAGAAGAGCCCAGGTTGCCTTTGCAATCTCTGGCTGAGTTTTCAGAGTTGGCACTCAGTGGGCATAGCCCCCCTTCATTTTTACCTGTCTACTGAGTGAATCTGATATGAGTAATTGCATGACCACAAATGTGAAACTCCAGGATACCATTTTCACAGAGTCACATTTCAGGGAACTTCATTTAAAAGTTCTTTGCTTTCAATGACTGCTCTATTAAAGCTGCCTCAGTCAACAGTTCATTTCCATTCGACAACTCAATAATAAAACAATAACAATCTGCCCTAGATTCCCTCCAGAAATAGACGGTGCCTGGTGATTTTTGCAGACGAACGTACATCTTCACAGCCAAATCCAAATGAGACTTCTTGGCCCGTCAATTACTGGGTTTCCATAAATGGAGTCTAAGATCCCCTTTCCCTACAGACCACATACCTTATCTCTGTGAGAGACATATGCTGTAGCTTTAACTATTAAGTGATAATGAGGAGACAAGGGAGAAGGGACAGGAAAGATCTAGGGTAGCTAAAGCTAGCAATCATTAGATTTACAGAAGGGAAAAAACATGCTACCTAGACCAACACATTTTTTATGAATAATTGATAAGGCAGTCAGCACAATTATATCATAGAAGTGTAATATATACCCATAATTAGAAAAACAGCTTTGTGCAAAGGAACATAATACATTGAAAAGAAGATACCAGCCAATATGCCATCCTGAAATAAAATACAGTCACTATTGTGTTAGTTGGCAACATTTAAATACAGAATTTGAAAGCAAGCAAAATGTTCTTTAATCCCATTTTTTAGCATAGTCCAGGCTCAGTCTGTTCAGGAAAATACTGCAAGGCAAAATCAGCAGCTGTATTAATTTGCTGATGATTGAGAGAAAAATGAAAGTTATCCTTGTGTTTTTTCTCCCTCTTGCTACTCTAACTTACTAATAATATGAAAGTACCAATTTATTTCTATGCGAGTCTATGAGGCATACAAATTGAAAAATCAATGTAATGGAAAAAAAAAAAGATTATCATGCACTGTTTAGAATCAATCAGCTAGAAACAGAGGGGGGAAATGCGAAGGCGGAGACATGATGTTTAGAAAATGTATATATTTTCCCTACCCTAAGCTAGAATAGTGTTTGCTTAAGAAAAAAAAATCCTCCTCTTACTCTAACAGGCAGACTGAGATACATTTTTATCTAAATTGGTCTTATTTCCAATTTTTCCTGTGCAAATCTGTCAGTTGATTTTCCTCATAAAAGGCCACCAATAATATAAATATTAATCCCTGTGCCCTGAAGAACCACACATAGCACACAGCAAAGACTGCAGTGGTGGAGGGATTAATATAGTCTAAATACTTTATTAGTATGAAGTTTCAGCATCCTTCACCAGAATGCTGATGGCTTACTGTAGCCTGAAGGATAAAGTTGTATACTATGTAATGGAGTCCCTTTAAAATATTGATAGCAATAATTCTGTCGTGGTCTGGATCACTATTAGTAGTTTTGTTTTAATCTTACACCTCTCAGTGATGAAAAACTTTCTTTGGCCAAAATAGGCCTCTACTGATCAGAAATAATTATATTGTACAAGTCAGATGTGTAACAAATGGATCTGAGTCTCGGTTTGAAAATACATTCAAAGGAGGTGGAAAGAATGGCTACTGGCTCTGTGACAGGAGATTCAATCTTCATAAACCTGCAAGAGAGGGGAGGAAAAAAGCGACACAAATGCGCCCTACAAAAGAACAGACCAGATCACAGCTGGAAGGAAGGCAAACCTTTTAATCAGGTCCTTGAAATACAAGCTGCAGGAAGCTAGAACATTTTGGTGGACTTCAAACTCTTTGCCTTCAACAATAATTTTCAGGTCTGTAAACTCTTTCGCTCTGCGTTGCTGGTTCAACTCCTTCAACATTTCTGCAGAACAGAGAAGACAGACAGTGCCAGGGTTCCCATTAAGAGTTTTTTTTTATTTTATTATTTATTTATTTTTTTTTGTAAAGAAGAAGAGAAATAGGATATTTGATACTGTTTGTTGGCAAGATTGGCTCAACACAGACAGTCAAAGAAGTTACAAACAAAATACTAAAAAAAGAAAATTAGCAGGAACCAGTAGTCTATATACTTAATATACATCTATGTATATTAAAAATGACAATCCTAAATTTGGAAGGGTTAAAAACAAAAACAACATATTTCAGCATCAGCAAATCAGAAACACACAAAAAAATGCAATACCACAGGCACATTTAAAATAATTAGTTACAACAAAGTGCAACAATTCCACAAATTTAACCCAAATGCAAATAACTTTTTGAATGTGTTGGAATATTACTAGTAAAAATATGGTATTATGATGTAATATGAACAGGATATGGTTCAAAAGAATAAAACCAGAAGACCTGCAAAAGCAGCATATCCTAAATGTATACACTTTTGGGAAGTGTTCAACTTTTCGGTTAACAAAATACAGTAGTATTAATTAAAATATTATCTCGTATTAAAAAAAATAGCCAAGATTATTGAGACATCTTGTAAAATACTTTTAGAAAAAGGTTTAAGTTTGATAGGATGAAAGGTTAGCTTTAATGGCCTTATAATTTAAAAAATTACACACTTACAGTAAATTACTGGCCTTAATAACACATTCCATTTTTATGCTCTGAGGATTTTCACTGTCCCAACATTTTTTATTTTTAGCCTTCAATAGCTTTATAGTAACAATCAGCTTCCACACATCAGGAAAGAATCCTAATGCCAAAAATAACCTGAAAATAGCTCTGTCCTGAGTCAAGTACCTACCTTGCACGATGCTTCCTGCTACACAGGCTCTTGGTACTGAGAGAACAAAATAACAGCTTGCCAAATGTCTCCATATGTTCATGTGGACTATTAAGTAGCTTACTCAGTTTAAACTCCTGTTGGGCTTTTTAGTTGTTGGGCTTTGTCTAACGTGGGAGATCAGAATGGCTAGCAAGACAAATAATGCATAGTTCATTTGGGAGTGTGCAATGGCCTGGAAGACTGTGATCAAGCTAATAAAACAGCTGATTTGAATATTAAATTATTTGAACGTGAATGAGATTTTGGTTTTGTTTTATACTTGCAATAGGTCAAGGTCATTTTCTCAATCATCCTACCATCCATTTTCAAGAGATCTTACAGGGCCCTATTTTCATATGCAGGGAAACACTTTTGACTGTGTTAAGGGGCCTTAAAGAAGGTATATTTGTTTGTGTAGCTTTTACAGGGTTCCCCTGTACTACCTGAGTGGTGTAAGGCAGCCATGGAGCCAAGGAGAATCAGGCCCTAGTGGTCTTACAATCTATTTTCCTTCCTTCCAAAATGAAATGCAGCCACTAAGTGTCGTTCTAGAGAATTATCAGTAGTAATAACGACAAAGCATGCAAATATTCAATGGCTGTACTAAAACAAACTGGATTTCAACCTAACCCCAACATCTGTGGTGCACATTTTTCAGGCCGAAGTAAATAAATGTCACCTTGCACATTTATGTCTACTCAATGGAAACACAGTACTGTCTGAAAGGCTAATTATTCTGTGCTGAAATGGGTCAGCATTCTCCAGAGAGCAAGCAGATCATTAGAGAGGGCACAGAAATAACAGCAGGCTTGTGTCAGATCTATAATAGAGGAAAATAAACCACTCTGTCCTGTGGGTGCGATACCATGGACCATTCTTAAAGCATTCATTTGAGCTAAAAAACTGGAATATTTTTCTGGCAAATGTGAAACTTAGCTGGAATAAAAATGTTTGCTCCTTTCTAGAGAAATGTTTGGGTGACAATCATTTAATGGTGGGTTCTAGACCATCTGATCTGGGCTCCAGCCATGCAGGCCTGCTTTAGTCAAATGCATTTCTGAGACAAAGACACCAATGGATGTTGTGCTTATTTGGGGCTTGGGTGACTGAGGGACTGTTTCTACAAAAACAGCTTTGGATATTTCTTGTAATTAAACCTTGGAGAGAGAGGGAGGGGGTCTTTTCTGTCCCTTTTCTCTTCCGGCATGCAGGCTCTTCTAGTTCATTTTTGTCTCTCACTTTCAGTAACTGTATTTTTCCTCAGACCGATTTTGTATCATTTCCGGGCTTTAAAGGTGGTTACTTTTCCCGCTAGCTTGTTTTCTGATGTTTTCTCTTATCCCTTATTTATTTCACCTTTGTTTTCTGTCTGTGTCAGTCTCACTCTTTCAAATTTGTCCAGTCTGTTTTATTCCCTCCATTTTATTTGCCTTCTTAAGTGTCCGTTTTCCCCTTCATCATTATTTATACCCATGCCTATCAGCCCTTCAGAGTGCTCCATGCTGGATAAGGGATTCAGACAGGTCCTTTGTATCTGGTGCAGTTTTTCCTTTGGTACAGTCAGACAGGATGAAGCTCACTCCAATGCAGAGGCAGTTGCCTTTTCACTCCACTCTACCTGAATTCCCAGAGTCAAGCAAATGTTCAGACACACAGTGGCTTCATCTAGAGAAGCCAAGCAGTGGAACTACTGCACCTCCTACAGATGGAAGAGGTAGGGCTTAATACCTTTTAGCTAGGGACAGACATTCAAAAACCCTGAGCCTGAATTGATTCAATCTTTGTAGGTTAATCTAACCTAGCTAGGCTGAATCACTTTGTAACTCTACAGATATCCCAAAAATGCAGGCACATGCCTGCATTGGCTCAGGCAAGAAACTGGTGGGTGCTAGAGCAGCCATCCCTTCCCTTCCACAGGGCTAAGCTGAGGGGGCTGTGGGCAGGCCCCAGCAGAATTAGGGAGGGGCTCCCCCCGCTTGATATCAGAACATTTATCAGCTCTGTTATCAGCATTCATCACCCCATCAGAAAACACACAGCCTCTCCCATTAGTTCAAACTCTTCTTAAACAAGGAAGCAACAGAGGGACATTACCAGCAGAGCTGGTGATTAGCTCCAAAAAGCCCAAAGCCAACACTCCTGTCTGCCACAGCATGGACCATAGCCAGCATGTGGCCTGCTAACTAATGCTGAGGTGTCTGTGTAAGGCAGAGGAAATGGGATCCCTGCTTTGCAGGAAGTGTGTGGGAGTGGGGGGAAGCCAGGCAGACCCTGCTGTGCCTGCAAGTCTCTGCCAGAGCACCAGCCAGGGAGCTGAGGGGAGGGGTCAGCCCTGCTGTGGAGCAGAGAGCCCTGCCCAGCCCAGAGAGCATGCTGGGATGCTGATTTAACTTAAACCAGCAAGGGGTCTGGGACAGACATTTCATAAACCAGTTTGACCCAAATCAATGAAGTCTGATACTACATTCAACCAAAGTAACCTCAAACCAGTTTCAGCCATTTTTAAACTGGTTTATGTACACTGAACTTCTGTTCTGTTACAGGTGTAGACCAGTTTCTGATCATTTAAACCGGTTTATGTGTAATGTCTGTCCCTAGCCTGTTTGATGCAGGCTGGTAGGACAGGATGCCTGCAGTGTCTGGTGGGAGGATGCAGAAAATTGCTGTTGGATCTAGACTAAAAGCTAGGAGCTGCTGAATAACAGGACACAGAAAGGCTTAGGTCAGGGGTGGGCGAAATGCGGCTCGCCAAGCCATTCTATCTGGCCCACGGGGCCCCAATATTAATTTTCTAAATTTTTAAATCTGCCCTGGGCTGCCTGTCATGCAGCCCTCGATGGCTTGCCAAAACTCAGTGTGGCCCTCTGCCCAAAATAATTGCCTGACCCTGGCTTAGGCACAGCATGTCAAGTGGAAGAAAGGCAGGCAACTGAGGTCAGTGCTGTTTCCTGTGCTTGGTGCGACTGGTTCTAGTGCCTGAGACCCTAGGCAAAACATCACACAAAGACTGATCACTTGGGCTTCACATGGCATTTTTAATGACATACAACCCTGTAGCTTTCAGGTGCACATTCTATCCACATGGTTTGCAAGCGGGATTTGCGGTCCCTAGTATGCCGTATGCATTCATCAAGGGATGCGAACCACAAAGCACAGGTCTGCAGCAATGCTTCTATTTGGCTCAGACAAAATATCAGCCGGAACAAACCCTGATGAGAAACTGAAAGTCTTGTATTCACAGTTGCAGTTTTAAGCCTGTAATTCTCTCCTCTTTCCCCGATCTATTAAAGTGCTCTGAACAGAAGGATGACTAAGAACAGTCCTTTGTTTTATGTGGCTCAGTTTCTGAACCAAACAGAGCAGAGGCTGGGAGAGAGGAGAAGGAAGAGAGAAGGAAGTCAGGAGGTTGCATTGATTCATCGATCTTCCTAGCTGAGGCTCCCTTTGTATTACTAAATAACTAGCAGGCATTAGTACTGGATACAAGGTTATATCAGAACGGACCCTTATTCTCAGTGTATTTGTAATGCTCATGCTGTGCTTAGCCAGGCATTAATGATTTATGAGGACTCGGGATCAGTTGCAAAACAAATTTTTTCGCCAGGTAATAATGCCTGACAATGAGTTGTAAAGGGAGAGACAATACGCTACAGTCCTAGCAGTGAAAAATGATCTGAGATTTGTCCTGTTTCCCTGCCTGTTGGGGTGCCTGGATTCATCCGTCCCTCCCAAGGACTGGGTTTCGTAAGAGGGGCGGAAAGGAGCCCAGCACTGTTATTATTCACATGTACTGTTGGCATCTTTGCCTTTAACAGAGGGACTTTTTTTTTTCTTTTTAAAAAAGAACAGTGCAGTTGTAGTTAACAGAAAGACAAAAAGAATAGCATGGTCTCCTATGATTTCTCCTTGCAGTAATTCCATACTAAATATGTTACCTTTACAATTTTTCCTATATCTTTACTCATGTTGGGATCTAAGAAGTCAGGCTGGGTCCTCTCTATGTCTTGCATCATTAATGCTAAAGACACTGCAGTCAGAACTAAGTGAACATTTTCTTGATGATGCATGGCACAGAATAGACTCCATCTTCCCCT